AGAGAGAGAGAGAGAGAGGGAGAGAGAGGGAGGGAGAGAGAGAGAGAGAGAGAGAGAGAGAGAGAGAGAGAGAGAGAGAGAGAGAGAGAGAGAGAGAGAGAGAGAGAGAGAGAGAGAGAGAGAGAGAGAGAGAGAGAGAGAGAGAGAGAGAGAGAGGGGGGAGGGAGAGAATGAGAGGGAGGGAGAGAGTGAGAGAGAGTGAGAGAGGGAGGGAGAGTGAAAGTGACAGTGAGAGAGTGGGAGTGAGAGAGAGAAAGGAGAGAGAGAGAGAGAGAGGGCAAGAGGGAGACAGTGAGAGAGAGGGACAAAGAGATTAAGAGAGAGAGTGGGAAAGAGAGGGAGACATTGAGAGGGAGGGAAAGAGAGATTAAGAAAGATTAAGAGAGAGAGAGAGAGAGAGAGATAGAGGTAAGGAGAGAGAGAGAGAGAGAGAGAGAGAGAAAAGAGTTAGAATAAGATAAATAAATTCAATAAAAAGTACTGTAAAATAATCATAATACCCCATGTAAAAGCTCTCAAGAGAATACATTCATAAATATTTCCTTTGACAGTTAAGTAACTAATACTGGAAAGTGTCTTCATATCAATTATCCATCTTCAGAAGTGAAGCTTTTAAAAGCCACCTACTTCTATTAATTTCTAATAACACATTATGCTAATGACATGAGCTTAATGCAACAAATATAGAAAAGGCTAGAAATAAGATGAACAACTGGACCATATATTCTCAATAAAGATTAAATGGAAATGCATCAACTCCAACTAATCTTTTGTTTTCTTTTGAACTCCATCAAAATAATTCCTTAATTTCTCTGCTTCAAAGAGCTTTTACTTGGACACTACAGCAGATTAGTATCTGTGCCTAAGAACATGATAAGAATCAAGAAAAGGAACAGGGGAAAAAATCAAGATTCAGAAATGGGGACTAAATATATGGTTTCCTTTTGGCTCACCTTCTCAGCATGCAACCCTTTCTGCCAAAATAGAGGACAACATGAGCATTAGTAAGCCAGCCAGCACTCTAGGACTGATGTAATGCGCCTGCAACTTGTTTTCTTCCCCTAAAACATTAGTAGCCTCTGCCATTGTAAGACAGTCTAGCTGTACACTCTGCATATGCTTAGCAATTGGCCTGAATGCCTGTATGTACAAAAGCTGCATGTACTTTTTGTTAAGCTTTGGTCTCAGATTGTGACACGTATACTGAAGAAATTTAAAGCAAAAGAAACCTTTGCAATCCCTACATATTATATGATACATGTGAATATAGGAGCATAAATTTTCCACAGACAAATAAATTATCATTACTAGACAGTGCAGTCCTCCCTTGGTTCTATTATTACCTATGTCTCTATGTACCAACATAATGTTATTTTTTTCATTCATAAGCTTACCAGCATTTGATCCAGAATGGGGAAAAAAACACAAATATATAAACAAACAAAACAGATTAAACAAAAGCATAAAATTCAGTCAAATCCTTGCATTGAAGAGTTAAAATAATATCCCCTCAGTAAATCTATGCTGAGGAGCAATCATTTGCATATCTATAGCATAAATATTTCCTCACTTCTTTCCTTAACAACCTGCAACACAGTTGAAAAAAAGTGCATGTCTGAAGCAACTGTACATAGAAATAATATCTAGAAGGGTAAAGCTTATCAAATTTGTCTAGAATATTATGTTTCCTTCAGCAAACCTTCTTGGATATTACATTTCTGCCAAAATAAAGGGACGTGCCCATTAGGTAAGGTAGTCTGAACTCCAAAACTGCTGTATTCTTTTGTGCAGAAGCACTGCAATTGAAACTTCTCTTTTAATCAATACATTACTATGTACAAAAAATATCAGTGTTCATGATTAGAAATATATCTGCTTGGGAAAAAATATACTGACAAAATAAAATATTTCTGTTTTATCCATCAAATAGAACAATATGCTCGTACTACATTTCTCTTTTCTTTTCTCACCCCAAAGAGAATAAACATAAATAAACATAAACATACAACATATCCTTCTTCTAACTCTTTAGCAAATCTCTTTATTGCTGACAGAACAATACCTACCATTGATTTATTCACCAATTTACATTTCTGTCATCTATCATTCATTTATTTGTTGATCTACTGAGCCTTGTAATCTGAATCCACTTTAATTTTGGCTGACTCTGCTTTAAAACTTTGGACATCTAGAGCAAAGACAAAAATCGTTTGCAATGCCAGGTTTCACATTCTATATCTTACAGAGAATTGGACTGTCACTTATATACTGCATGTATTATATGTATACATTACTGAGATACAAAATTTACTGTACTAAAAAATCCCTCAGTGTCTCTATCTCATATTTTTAATTCTTTCTATCTTTCTTTCCCTTTTCTTTCTCTCTCTTTATGTATTTCTTGCTTACCTCAATTCTGTTTTCAAAAGGAGAAATCATTACAAAGAGAAAGAGAAAGAGAAAGAGAGAGAGATAGTGTGTGTGAGAGTAAAAAGAGAGAGAGAATAAGAGAGAAAGAGAGAGAATAAGAGGGAGAGAGAGAATGAGAGAGAGAAAATATGAGAGAGAGAAAAAATATGAGAGAGAGTGTGAGAGTAAAAGAGAGTGAGAATAAGAAAGAGAGAATAAGAGAGAAAGAGAGAGAATAAGAGAGAGAGAGAGAGAGAGAGAGAGAGAGAGAGAGAGAGAGAGAGAGAGAGAGAGAGAGAGAGAAAGATTGAGAGAGAGAGAGATTGAGAGAGAGAGAGAGAGAGAGAGAGAGAGAGAGAGAGAGAGAGAGAGAGAGAGAGAGAGAGAGAGAGAAAGATTGAGAGAGAGAGAGATTGAGAGAGAGAGAGATTGAGAGAGAGAGAGAGAGAGAGAGAGAGATAATGAGACACAATAAATAAGTGATAAGGCTCAATAATCAACACATATCCCAATAACATGACCATCTATACAAGAGCTACAAAAATCACATTCCAATCTCCATTAAGATACAAAATATGAAAGCCAACAATGAAACCCACGAATGATCTGCTCTTACCATGGATACGAAGAGCACTGGATTGGCTCTCTGACTCCATAAGCACTGGCAATCGCACACTAAAGGTATGAACGCTTGCCGCTAATGATCTCTGGTTTCCAGGAACTCTGCCTGAGACATGCATTTGGAATGCAGTGTTGCCATATGTCTTTGCATTACTCTGTACTGTTTTCCCCTTTTTCTGTGGGGCTACATTTTCTTTAACGATAACACCGAGGGTGGACTTAGGCATTTGCACTGTCAAATTGATTTATTCGGTTTCCTCGTGTAGTTTAGACCAAAGCAGAAATTGGATGTGACTGTAATGATTTACTTGATATTTTCTATTCATAATCATGAAACTTTCAAATGGTACTCAATTATTCACTGCAGCAATGCTTGCCTTCTTATGAATGACTCGATATCATTGAGAAACAAATGACTCGATATCATTGAGAAACAAATATGTAAACACACTGAAGATCTTTACATTGAAACCACACATAAAAGAAAATACTATGACATTCTATAAAAAAAAGGATAACTATGTAAAACCATTCACCAAAGAAAAGAAAAATCTATACTAAAAAACAAAGGAAGAAAACACCCATTTTCATTTTCAACTAACACGCAGGGCATTCAGACATCTTAACCTAATTACCATAATGATACACTGTAAAATATCTGAAATATTCAATAATTATATTTATATATTGATTACTTTTCATTCTTTTATTCTATTTACAACTGTCTTTCATGTAGCTAAATAAAATCTAATACAACAGTATATCACTTCTTGATCATCTATCTTACAGCAACTTAAATGAATGATATAATTAATGAAATAGCTGGTTTATATGGCCAGTCATTAATACATTGTGTGTTTGTGTATACATATTTGTGTGTGTGTGTGTGTGTGTGTGTGTGTGTGTGTGTGTGTGTGTGTGTGTGTGTGTGTGTGTGTGTGTGTGTGTGTGTGTGTGTGCATGTGTGTGTGTATGTGTGTGTGTATGTGCGTGTGCATGTGCATGTGCGTGCTTGTGTGTGTGTGTGTGTGTGTGTGTGTGTGTGTGTGTGTGTGTGTGTGTGTGTGTGTGTGTGTGTGTGTGTGTGTGTGTGTGTGCACGTGTGTGCGTGTGTATGCATGCGCATGTGCATGTGCGTGTGTGTGTGTGTGTGTGCGTGTTTTGCTCAAGTGGACATGGCCTTTCCGAAAATATAAAAAAATACATAAAGAAAATTACAAGTCCATTTCACCACTTAACTTACCTTGCTAAGTTTGGTCGACTTGCTGCTGATGAAGAAGGTGCCACTACGAGCTACGGAAAAATAGTTGTGAATCAGTCTTCAATTCAACTTACTAACGAGATGAACCACCAAAAAGTGCTCCTAACAAGTAGACAATCTGTGATGAGTGCAAGGATAATTTATACCAATATATAAAACCTTCCTGAATTATCAATCCCTGACCTCCTAGGAAACTGGGATGTACAAAGACACCCCTTCCTGATACAGCAAAAAACACCAGCTGGAGAAGAATCTGTTTTATACAATCAAAATGAATCTAAAGCTATCAATATAAATAAAATATTCCCTTTGCTGGCATACATCAATTAGGGGGTCTTCTGGTACGCACACCCACATGAACCTTGGAAATACTTGCATAATCTACTGAATACTAAAGTATACTAAGAACTAACCTCAAAGTAATATCTAATAATAAAAAAAAAAATCTAAATGAGAGTGGAGATATTATCTTGACTCATTAAAACAACCTCTTTGGGTGAAAGGTTACTTTAACAATCTAAATCCTTTCAAGAACTGGTAAATAATGTTCTTTTTATTACCCTCGTTATACTCGATGTAACATATTCTAATTTCTATAATATGTTCATATGAAACATGGAATAACTAAAGGAATTAAAATTAACAGTTAATCATATCCAGGCATGCAATAATATTAATGTTTTGTTGCACCAACATTACTGCTCAAGCTGTCATCAGGTTCTAAATTATATCATGAAGATGATACAAAGAAAGAAAACGAAGGAAAATAATATGGAGACCTGCAATGTAAAAAAACAAACAAAAACATAAAGCAAACAGAAAAAAATACTCAGAAGATAAATGATATTCTATTTAATCTGTGAGCCTCTATATAGGAGTGTAAATGAGGGGGAGTGTGAAACTGAGTGTGTGTGCGTGTGATCTCAATATAATTTAGTAAAACAAAATGTCAATGCTTGTCTAAAAATATTTTTTAATACAATTTTAAGAACTAAAACACATTATTTCCCTGCAAAAAACTGTGATAAATCTGAGAATGTACTTCTCTTTCTTGTAAAATCATATATAAATGCTAAGATATTTTCCTCATGTACACCAGCAGAACTGTCTGATGCTGGCTATAAAGTGCAGTAATGCTGAGCACAAGAGCTACAACAGTACCACCTCTCTTACCATTGGCTATCAATCCCTGTCGCTTGCGGAGGACTGGCGAAGCAGAAAAGGCATTAGAGTGTAATCTACATTTCATTCATCTAAAGAATGTGGCTTAGGAGAAAAGGGAGATTTTTGTCAAACACGTGATTAATAGAAAAAAAAAAAGTGGATACAATCAGACCTTCATGCAGAATGTGACACTTGTTCATTTGCAGTGTTGGCCAATGACATTCTCTTCCTGTGCCACAAGTGTAATATGTGTGCTGGAAAAAGTTTCTGACAAATGTAGGTGGTTTTCTGCATATGAATTTCCTGTCTTTGGCCTTTACTAACAAACTCGCACACATGAACAACTCATTAGCATTGGCATTCTTGTGTTTTTACAGTACAATCATTTAGCATGAATTCTTAAAGATAGTTCTAAGTCTGGTAATAGGTGTGTCTGTTTTTTTTCTATGTGGAGTTCTACGTATAGAATTCAGAATCAACCCACTTCAGTATTTTTTAAATTCCTTAGTCCTACTGTATGAATGAGTAATAACATTTTTCTTTAGCCACAGCCCCCTGGCCTGTTTCCATTTAATTAATACTACATGAAAACTCTAATGTATTAGGATATGAGAATGTAGAAAAACAGAGTAAAGAGTTATGTGAGAAATATAATATAGGTTAAAACCATGCACGACTCATGTTCACTTCAAACTGGAGGTGTAACAGTGTCTGTTTAAAGTTCAGATATAGGAGAGCAGAGAGCACTAAATAAATTATACAAGGCATTTTTTCTGGTAGTGAAGCAAGGAGTGAGACAACATGTGTATTTCTTTCTTTACTCATAATTTTCATGGCTCATCACATGGCCATAAAAAATGAAGCTTCTTGCACATATATTTGCTAAGGCTTAAGAACTAGAGGCACTGCAGAACTCTAGTTTCTGTTTTTTTACTATATGATAATGCAACTGCCTAAAATGTACAGTAATCAACTAGCACATATACATTAAAAAAATTTGTCTCCTTTTGGTATCATTATTAATTTACAGCTCCTACTGCTACTGAACACCTTCAGTCCTTTTTATTCAACCTTACCAAACCATTATTGGCACTTAATATCCTTTTATCATTATTCATGCAACCAAGAAATTAGTAAAAAAAACAAAAAAACGCCACTTTGTCATACAAACTGTTGCACAAGGACGGCACATGCCATATACCCACCTGATCCAATGTTAAACTCCTTCCCTGACATGATGTGATGGAGAAGGTTCTTCATCTCAAAAGGCGACAGGTTCAGCAGATGGTCGGAAGCTATGTCTGCCTCACACTTGATGGTGCGGGCCAACTCGGAAGCCATAACCTGGAAGTGATTGTAAGGCAGAATATAGAAGGCTGTTCTAGGAGATGGTCATTCCATCATCAAAATGCTAGCACAACACAATAATAAACAAACACACACAAAAATACTTGTAAACAAAGATGTCAACACATAATGATGGTGGTACAATCCATGTACATTGTGGATTTTCATCCAAAACAGTGTGAATATATATATACATATATATAGAGAGAAACATCCCAGCTAATGAAAATCAGAAGTGCAAAAAATACCTGTATGATGAGGCCAACCCTGAGCCTTAGCATTTCATGGAAAAGACTTGGCTCTGTGCGGATGAACATGGCAAGATACACCAACAACTCCTGCGTCAACATGGCAGTGGACTCGTCTGCTCCGTATGCATTGTGAATGAGTACCCGTAGTTCAGATGCTGGCAGTGGGGCCGTGATGGTCACCTCGTGGAGGGGAGGGAGACCAACTGTCACCTGCTTCTGACGCACTAATAAATCTGTGACTGCCTTGGCCAGGTCCTCTACCCTCTTGCCCAGCATTCCTTGTGGAAAAGAAAATATTTCTAATGTGCCATCTCTCTATGGGAATGACTTATATGGTTCTACTTGTTTGATATGACTAAAAAATGCTGAACATATATTTATTTAAAAAACAACAACACAAGCAATATTTCATTATCTGTACTTATTATCCAGAACCCTGGGTAAACCATTGCATGGCAACCATAATGTAAAGATTTTTTCCAGATTTAAGGCAATGCTACTCACCAGCAGTATGCCTGACAAGAGCCCAGTTCTTGTCATGGCATGCTCTTTCATAGAGATCCTTCAGAAGATCCTTAACAATGACAGGTTGTCCTTCAATCACTGAGCCAGTCTCATAATTCAACCCAAACTGTACAACCTGTTGGTAGTGAGAAAAAAATCTGGATTAGTTTAATATGAAAGTGAGAGTCAACTTTGTTTGGGTTACTTTTTCTAGTCAAAATAAGAACATTCTTCAACATTTGCACTACTATGAAATCATGTGTACTGATATGTATTAGGGTCCAAATGTCTGGCTAAATGTGTAAATTAAAAACCTTAATCACTGCATATGTGTGTGTGTGTGTGTGTGTGTGTGTGTGTGTGTGTGTGTGTGTGTGTGTGTGTGTGTGTGTGTGTGCTTAACTGCACTCTACTGTTTATAAAAGCCATCCAAAATCCACTATTCCTTTCAATTGTGGAACTGCAGTGCCTTTTCCAAACTCATCTAAAACAATAAAATAATCCACAGTTTTGGGAGAATCTCCTGTCTCACCAGATAGTGCAGAATATCTCCCTGCTCCTCAAGTGACTCAGCTTCTCGCATCTGCAGGAGCAACTCCTCAAACTCAACGTTCTCGTACACAGCATCTGATGCAACCCTGGAAAGCAAGAGATTCAAGTAAATATCATCATGTGTGATTGTGTTTATTGTTGGACTGATCTATCTTCTATACACATACATAGGAATGTGTGTGTGTGTGTGTGTGTGTGTGTGTGTGTGTGTGTGTGTGTGTGTGTGTGTTTGTGTGTGTGTGTGGGGTTGTGTGTGTGGTTGTGTGGGGTTGTGTATGTGGTTGTGTATGTGGTTGTGTATGTGTATGTGTATGTGTATGTGTATGTATGTATGTGTGTGTGTATGTGTGTGTGTGGTTGTCTATGTGGTTGTGTGTGTGGTTGTCTATGTGGTTGTGCGTGTGGTTGTGTATGTGTGTGTATGTATGTATATATGTATGTATATATGTATGTATGTATGTATGTATGTATGTATGTATGTATGTGTGTGTGTGTCTGTGTGTATGTGTTTGTTTATGTATGTGTTTGTGTGTGTGTGTGTATGTGTTTGTTTATGTATGTGTGTGTTTGCGTATGTGTTTGTGTGTGTGTGTGTGTGTGTGTGTGTGTGTGTGTGTGTGTGTGTGTGTGTGTGTGTGTGTGTGTGTGTGTGTGTGTGTGTGGTTGCATATGTATGTATGTATGTATGTGTATGAATGTATGTATGTGTGTGTGTGTGTGTATGTGCTTGTTTATGTATGTGTGTGTTTGTGTGTGTGTGTGTGTGTGTGTGTGTGTGTGTGTGTGTGTGTGTGTGTGTGTGTGTGTGTGTGTGTGTGTGTGTGTGTGTGTGTGTGTGTATGTGTTTATGTGTGGGTGTATGTGTTTATGTGTGGGTGTATGTGTTTATGTGTGGGTGTATGTGTTTATGTGTGTCCGGTAGTGCGCCTGTGCGTGTAAGTATGAGTTTGTATGTCTATGCATATGTACATCCATACATATGTATGTGTGTATGCATATACATGTGTATATAAATATCTGTATCATGTGAGGGGGTGTGCATATGTTTGTGCGTGTGTGTGAGGGTGAGCGTGTGTATAACTATAGTTGTGACTATGAGTGTGTTATCAAAACTGCTGAAAAGGGTACACATAGATTCCTGGTAAGTTAAAACTGAATAAAAAGCACGGAGATAATATAAACAAACAAAAATATAAAGGTCATTAGCATTAATTCCCACTTATCTCTCTTCTTACCCTACTCCTACAATCTTCTACACTCATCAGCCTGAATATACCGATAAATAAATCTACCTATTCACGACTCGTCATCTACCCCAGACACTCTTTCTTTCCGCGTCTCTACCCACAATATGCACCAGCACCTACCCTTCTACCCTGGTCAACAACGAAATAGAATTACCAGATCCAGGGGGCCATGAGTAACCCATCCATAAATTTTCATCACGATCCGCCATTAACTTTTAGCTTAATCCCGGTGATAAAACCAATAAACAAATATGTAAATGAATGCGTTAATGAATAAGCACATAAGGGACACCCATTAAATAAACCTTTCCGGTACATTACGCTTTCACATTTTACAGAAGAAAACAGTATGCACAAATTCTATATAGGCGACAGGCGCGTGCTCCACAATAACTTTACAACGAAAGGGAAATGCTTACAAACTCCAGGAGGTAGAAATAATATGGAAATAACCATGTGTTCCGCCAAAGAACGACAGTACATTCCACCAAAGATCAAAGGAGAACAGTGTCAAGGGGTTTGTGTGTCTGGGGCGTGATGTTCGCTTCCTTTAAACGTCTGTGCTGAACGAGGCCCCGACCGACCGGCGCCAGACAAGAAACGACTTCGATTTCGCGATTACAAACTTTTCTGTATGTGGTAATTTAGGGAGAAGGTCATCCTTCAATCCGAAGTGTTCCATGCGGGTGGCGAAAATATTCTTCGCCTGAAATGTTCCGTTCCAGAATTATATTATTCTGGAACGGAAGATTCCAGGTTTGGCGGTAAATTATTCAATTTTTGAAATTCCAAAAATAATACGAATGGGGAAACAAAAACAAACAAATAAACAAAAAAAAAAAGAAAAGAAAAGAAGGCAGAAGACTGTAAACACATTTATTATTATTATTTTTGAGCCTTGTGTTCTCTCCAACTCGTTCGTGTGACTTACGATTCTTTATCAATAGTTATGAATTCAGCCTTAAAGAGCACACACTTCGCTCCAACTAAACCTGTTTCAGGTTTAGTTGGAGCGAAGTTAACTGAAATGTCAACTCTCCTCCCCTTTCCCGATTCTCTCTTTCTTTCGTGATCAAAACGAAAGAAAGAAAGAAAGAAAAAACTCGCCCTTATTCCTATTCCCTTACATGGTCACTCAATATATTCTGACCAACGAATAATTTTGCATATTTTATGAAGTCTTCGGCCTGTAACAATACTACAACGTTCATAGTCATCCCCAAGCATCTACTTTGCCTTACTATACTGCGCCATTATGATCATGTGTTATGCTTCTACGTAATTACCTTAGAGCAACGAGCCTAGGGCGAAGGGTTAATAATACATAGATATATATTGTAATGTACTCTGGGATTCATCAACGAATATTTCACGTGATGGTGGTCACTGGGTCTCCGCATTTAACAGAATAGAAAATAATAAAAAAGACAGATACTTATGAAGCTATATAAAAAAAAGAAAAGAGAGAGAGAGAGAGAGAGAGAGAGAGAGAGAGAGAGAGAGAGAGAGAGAGAGAGAGAGAGAGAGAGAGAGAGAGAGAGAGAGAGAGAGAGAGAGAGAGAGAGAGAGAGAGAAAGAGAGATAGATAGATAGATAGAGAAAGAGAGATAGATAGATAGATAGAGAAAGAGAGATAGATAGATAGATAGAGACAGACAGACAGACAGAGGAAGAGAGAGAAGAGAACAGAAGGGAAGAGAAGAGAAGAGAAGAGAAGAGAAGAGAGAGAGAGAGAGAAAGAGAGAGAGAAAGAGAGATAGATAGATAGACAGATAGATAGATAGATAGAGAGAGAGAGAAATATCTATCTATCTACTATATATGTATACTGCATTGATATACATAAAACATTAACACAGAAAACTGGTAAAAAGAGAATAACTGAAGTCTTTCAAGCAAGGTGGAAAACAAAAATTACTGACTACAACCGTGGAAATAACGAAAACGATTATAACAACACCGTCAATAAACGAATGTGAAATGGCTTTCCTTCGAAATAAACCGACAGCAAATCTGGTGCATAAACACGAACTAAAATTCCACCTCATGCCTTTCACTTAATTCTATATTTGGGATCAAAACTGCATTGTTCAAATTCTTTTTTTGTTGCAGTGGGAGGGAGTCAAAATACACGTGTACACAGGCACATAATTCCTCTCGTAGGTAAACATGAAAGGAATGGCGGGAATATGCAAGGCTTCATATCTCACTTTAATTCTAGTTACCTTAGTGCTTTACTACCATTATCACTTTTTATCCGTGCACCTGAACATAATGTTAAGTGAAGGAAAAATACATATCATACAACATGTACCTGCATCTCTGTGTCTGTCTGTCTCTGTCTGTCTGTCTGTCTGTCTGTCTCTCTCTCTCTCTCTGTTTGTCTCTGTCTCTACCTGTCTCTCTTTCTCATAAAACCCTGTTTTTTTAATCTCACCAACCCAATGACAAGTGGTAAAAAAAACACAATTAATTTCAGATCCTTAATTTCCTAAAAGGCTCCGTCACCTGAATCTACGTGAGAAAAACTTCCGTAGATACATAAATATTTGAGGCACTGCCCACATACCAAGAAATACGATCGATTAGTACCACGGCGCGTATGCTTAAGTACTGCTGCACAATAACAGGAAACAATTACGCTTACAATTACACCCACTTCATAATGACTACGCCGCTAATAACATGGGGGGGAGGAGGTACCGAAGGGGGCGGGGGCAAGGGTGGGGGTGGGGGAATTAGAGGGAGATACTGAGGAATAAAGGGGAGAACACAGTTTGGGGGAGGAGGAAGGGGGGAAGGGAGAAGAGGCATGAGAGAAGGAAGAGGGGAGGAGGAGGAGGAGGGCGAGGAGAGGGAGAGGAAGGGCTTGAGAGAGGGAGGAAGGGAGAGGGAGGAAGGAAGAGGGAGGAGGGAAAATGAAGAGGAAAATGGTATGGAATGGCATATGAGAAAGATGGAGGAGGGGAAAGAGGAAGGTGCGGAGGAGAGGGGGGGGGGGCAGGGAGAAGAGGGGGGAGCAGGGAGAAGGAGAGGAGAACATCGGACAGGGGGGAGAGCGGAGACCGGGAAGGGACATCGGATGGGGGAAGGAGAGGAGAGGAAAAAGAAAAAGGTATGTGAGAGTAAAGGGGAAGGAGGGCGGGAATCGTAAGGAGGATGAGGAGGAAAGGAGAAGAAAAGCAGGTAGAAGGAGATAGAAAGAGAGAGAAAAGAGGAAGAAGCATAAGAGAGCAAAAAGCGTAAGAGAGGAAGAATGAATGGGAGAGGAGAAGGGGCAAAGGAAAGACAGAGAAGATAAAGGAATCGATAACCACTAGTTGTCATGGACGACCACACAACCTGTTGACACTCGCGCCTGTCTGCTGCCTGACAACACGGCGTCCCTCCTGTTACTACCATTCAATAATATATACAATACTGTCAGATTGTCGCGGGTGGCGTCGTAATAGGCATATCATACAAAGCTGTTCCTCTGACATCCATCTATCGAATAAAAATGCAGCTCCAATAACCAATGCTTGCGCGTCGATTATCGGTTTTTACTGGCGATGGAAAATTTCTCTCGATGCGTATGACGGTTGTGCTTTGTGTTTTGTGTATGCGTGTGGATAATTGCGTATGTGTGTATGTGTGGTGATACTTGTAAACAAGTGTGTATTTCTGGGTATGTCTTAGTTGCACGTGTCTTGTTAATAATTGTGTGTGTATATCTCTGTCCATCAACATGTACCGTGGGTTCGTTCACACGTCAATCTCCCCTCGTGCCTTCCTTCACGCCTTCCCTCCCATTTATCCTTGTTACCACCCATCCTCCCTCCCACACACCCAAACCACTC